AAGTGATCTCGTTCCTCTTACTAGTGCTTCATCAATAAGATCACCAGAATTTTGTAGAATCAACTCACTCTGACTTTTTTTATAACTTTGAAATTCAACTTTTCAGCTTCAAGAAATTTGATGTCTCTACTAATTATTAGCTTTTCTGTTTAGGGCTAATAAACTCTATAAGCTTTTGTAACATTGTTGTAGCCTATAAAAATGTCAATCTCTATGTTCCTATCAAGTTTGTCTCTTTTTACCTAAGGAATATAAATGAAACATAAGCATCTAAAAATTTTTAAATTGTGCAATGAGGGTTTGTAACCATGTCAAACTTCATATGGAGTCTTGTTATCGAGTGCTTTTCTTGGTAGCCTATCTAATAGAAAGACTGCAGTATTCACAACTTCTGCCTAAAACTTTTTTGGTAAATTTTTGTCAAATAATAAACACATCAACATCTTCATGATTGTTCGATTTTTCCTTTCACTCACACCATTTTGTTGTGGAGTGTAACGTATAGTTTACTGATGTTCAATCCTTGCATTTTCACAAAACTCAACAAACTTATTAGAGGTATATTTAGAGTCATTATCTGATCTTAGCACCTGAATTTTCTGACCACTCTGATTCTCAATCTAGTTTTTGAACTTCTAAAAGACATTTACAACTTCATAGTTAAATTTTAAAAAATAAACCCAACACATTCTTGAGAAATCATCAACGAAAGCAATATAATACTTATTTCCATTTAAGGTTCTACTTTCATGGCCCAGCAACATCAGTATGAATAAGTTAGAGCTTTTGCTTTGTTCTCCAAGCTCTATCATGAGGAAAATAAAGCTTATTTTGCTTGTCACATTGACAAGAAGCACAGATTGAGATTTATTTTTCCAAATTTGGCATTCCCTGCACCATCTCCTTTTTTTACATATACACTAAAGCTGCTTAGTGAAAATGCCCAAGCCTTTTATGCCATAATTCTGTTTCATTTGTTGTGCAAAGAAATACAGTTGACTCTTCTTTTATCCAGTCTAATGAGAAGCTTTTTCCTTTCATTTTTATAGTGAACATTTCCACACCAATGTGATAAAAAATTAAGCAACATTTGTCTTTAAAAATTACAAAATATCCTTGCTCAAGAAGTTGTCCAACTCTCAGCAAATTTTGATCAATTTTAGGCACAAATAGAACATCTGAGATTAATTTTGTACCTGAATTTCCTTCAATGGCAACCGTACCCTTGCCTTCAACTGGAATATATTCTCCATCGTCAATTCTGATTTTTAATATGCTTGATTTTTCATATTGTTTGAACAAGCTTCTGTCATTAGTCATGTGGTTTGTACAACCACCATCAATGAGCTAGCAACCATTAGCATGTTTACTGGAATAGCAAGTAGCAACAAACAATTACTCCTCATGTTTTTGATCAGCAACTCGTATTTCTCCTTCTTGTTGGTGAGCCCCTTTCTTACAAATCTTTTCCACATGTCCCAACTAATTGCACCTCTTACATCTCACATCAGGTCTCCACTAGCAATTCTTTTTGTAAGTGATTTGTCTTCTTACAGTGTTGGCAAGGAGGAAAATCTCTAGTTTTCTTGTTGTTGTTGTTGCCATCACCTTTTTTTATTTTTCTAGTTCTTCTTCTGACCTTTGTCACCTTTCTAAATTTACATTTTGTCTTGGAAAGCTCCTTCTACTGAACCTTCTTTGTAACACCCACCAAAAATATATATATATATAAAATAAATAAAAAATTTGTGTAATTAAATAATTAATAAATATAATTTTTTATTAATTTATTTTATTTTATTTGGTGTAAAAATAAAGTAAAAATTGAATGAGGATGAAATTAGAAACAATTTTAGGGAAAAATGATAAAAATTTGGATTCTGGTAGTATTTTTGAAAGAAAAATCAGAAACTAAGGGTCAAAGTACAATTTGGAGAAGTTCTGCCACATGGGACACCTGGTCAACAACCCCGATGAATCAAGACGCGTCACGTGGCAACGGGCGTTGACGCAGTGCCATGCGGGCGATCTGCCCGCGATCGAACGGCCCAAGTTCGTTCCTGCGAGCACGGATGGCCTGGATGCACTCCTTCCCAAAAGCGATTGAACGACTAGATTTAAACGCGATCGGACAGCCCAGAGTGGATCGCGATGGACGGTCCAGATTGGATCATTATGAACGGTACAAATTCACTCCCTATTTGATCGCGATTGGACGATCTAGATCAAACACGATGGACGGCCCAGATTAAAAGCGGACGGGTATAAATAATCCCTCATATATACCAAACCCTAACCCTAACCGCAAGACCCCTTCACCGAAGAAGACGACCCAGCTACCGGGGAGCAAACCCCCGCCAACTGCCGCCGCATCGAAACCCTTTCCGAATGCTAAAAAAGGTAAAAACTTCTTCTTTTGCACAGAATTCAATTTTAAGCCCATCCATGATCAAATCGAAGCAAAAAGACCAGCTAATTGGCTAGAAAATGCCAGCAAAGCCTGGCGGCACTGCCGCAGGAATTTTCACAAAATGCCTCCAATGAGGTCCTTTCCGATTTCTATTTTGTGTAATTTTTCCACCGTTGTGAGCACCGTGTCATTCTCTACAGGTTGACCGGAACAAAACACCTAACCGCAACATGAGCCAGAGGAGTCGCCGCACTAGAGAGCCCCGCCACCGGTGAGTTTCAATTTTTTATGTTTTTTTGGCCAACGAGGCCCTTTAACGAGTTTTCTCACATGAATCGATGCAAAATCGGTCGAATTCAGCCGAAAACATCCAAAACAGTCGACCTGAGGCAGACCGTCGCCGCCTGTGGCGGCACCGTCGCCAGAGCACGGTGAAGCCACTATGTCGAAATTTTGAAATTGGTTGAGTGGGCCCTGGGACTAATTTTGGATTTGTTTAGAATATTTGTAGGTACTATTACCACGTTTCGATTCCCGAAGAAAAATTTAGGAAACCTAGGGACCGCCCGTAAGCGCAGTAAACAACTTAGTTTTATGGACATCATATCAGTAAGAATCCTTCATCCTATTCCCTATCATAAAATTAAAGTGTAAATAAATAATAATATGGTATTGCAAATTAAATAAATGTGCATAATTAATTACGGATTGCTAATGGAGCCCGTACCAAAAATTGTTCTCTGTTAATTTCTGTTGATTTATTTTACAGTCTAAAAGCATGATGGTATCTGGTTTATCAATTTTATGATTTGAATACATGAATTGCTGTCTTATGTGACTATTGTTTGATTGAAAATTTGAGATATGATTGCATTCCCTTATGTATATTTGTTTGCTTATGTGATCTTAGTTGATTTGGAAAATGGAGACTAAAGGAAAACAGAAAAGTTGTGTAATTAAATAAACAGATGAAATGGCAGACTTACTGGATATTCTAAGAGATGGTGGACGGACCGGGTACATAGGGAACCCTACTGTGAACGTTGTCTTGTACCGAACGGGGTATGGAGACTTGATAATTTGGTGCTCATACCGGACGGGGTATGGGAATGGCCCGCTTCACCCTCATACCAGACGGAGTATTGAGATTTAATAATTTGGCGCTCATACTGGACGGGGTATGAGGACGGCCCGCAATTGAGATTGTTAAAGGAAATGAGTCACGTGTAGCAGGGACATGCCTATGAATCCCCATGAATACTAGTAGGCTGGTGAAAAGGTAACAATTATTGTTTGATTATTTGACGATGTGTATAAATTTATGATATGTGTTATGTTGCTGATCTTACATGAAATCATGATTTGTATGATATTATTGTCTGCATAGGTTATTTTCATAAATTTTACTGTAGTAAGTGAACGATAAATGATTTAATGATTGATAAATGGATTTGCTAAATTTAGTGCTACATTAGTTGTTTTTATTTTTATACCCACTTTTATTTCTTTGTTAGTAATATACTGTGATATCCTTATTGAGCTAGACCTCATTTCTTATTTAACCATTTCAGATAAAGAGGACTAGGTTTCAGAGTCTGGTCCGCAAGAAGATTGCGAGTAGATGCTAGATATTTTCTCTTTTCCGTTTATTTCCTTATTTCTTGTATTTCTTTTAAAAGGGTGAATTACGTAATGTTATATAGTAATTTTAAGTTATTGTGTAAGGAATGTAAACCTTAATCCTTTTATTTCGCTTCCGCACTTAAGTTATTATCTATTTTCTTTGGGTATTTCTGGGGTCGTTACATTCTTACCTCATTTGCCTTCTTTGTTCTTGAGCCTGTAGAGCATTTAACAATTCTACCAAGATAATTTTGACAGATCTCTTGAGTTTTCCAGATAGGTAATTGTAGCTTCAAATTTCTCAGAGATTGTAATAAGAATTTTTTGAATAATTCTAGAATTAGAAAAATCAATGCCAAATAGTCTTAATTTATTTGTGATACAGAGGAGTTTGTTTACATAATCTTTGAAAGTTTTTGACTCTTTCATCCTTTGCATTTCGAATTTTCGAATCAAATTTAGGAGTTGCATTCATTTGATCCTTTCACTTCCTTCATATTCTTTCTTTAAGAAATCTCAGATCTCTTTAGCAGTCTTCATTGTCATTATTCTATTGAAAATAACAGAAGAGACAGCTATAAATAAAGTTGATCTGGCTTTTGATTTTCCGAGCCTCTTTTCTTTTTGAATTTTGATTTACCCAAGAGTTGGATTGTTTGGTAACTTAGAAATTTCATATTCTTGCTCCGCAGCTTCCCAAAGATCATGAGCTTCGAGATAAGCTTCCATTTTAACAGCCCACATTTGATAATTTGTTCCATCAAACACTGGAGGTGCAATTGTAGTGAATGAAGCTTCTGAATCCATTTTCTGTTTGAAGTGAGGTAAGGGTTGGTGTTTGGGAAAAGTTTTTAAACTCTCTCAATCTCACATATCCCTCAAGAATATGGCTCTGATACCAATTTGTTTTTGTATTTTTGTTTTGTGTTTGTTTGGCAAACCAAATATGATAAAGAGCAAAGAAGATAGAGTTTATAAAGCTGAAAGGGGGAACTGCAGAAATCTTATATTCTTCTATTGACTGACCTTTTACACAAGAATTTGAGCAATTAACAATCTAAAAATCTGTAGCAAATAAAGACATATTTATCAAGAAAAAAGAGCTATTATACTGCAGTTTTATTTGCAACAAAATCCTTATTTTGTGGAACTGAATTTGCCTTGATGTAAACAACTCCAGAGACCAAGTCTTCTGCAGTAAATGAGACAACTTTCATCATGGGTCCTCCTTTATTCTCAGGCTCCCAGTCCATACTCTTCCGGCCCATGTTCAATTAACAATACTTGGCTAGGATTTCATGGACAAACTTTGATACTACTACATATCTACAATTACTTCAACGTGAAAACAGTCAACAAACTGTCCTATCATCGGCTCTGCTGTAATATTTACAGATTCAACAGTTTTTTACCTCTTCAGAGCCCAAGGGATCAACTAACTTCATTCATTCTCAAAATTAGAAGATCTAGAAAATTAATATTACACAGTACTTCATATGATATGCACATATCATCGTCGTGGTTTTAAACTGTTAATATATAGTCAAAAAACTAAGACCACAACTAACACATGCATAATAACATATATATATATATATAATTAATCGTTAGAGGCTATGAAACGTGAAAATAAAGAAAAAACCAAAATTGACCCACATTTTCGTCTTTACTGTTTTGGGTTATTGATAATTAATTAAGATGACCTGTAAATATTGAGTTCTGTATCAGCCGATTCCATAATATAACATGGTGGGTGATGATGATGATGATCTTCCGGGAATTGAAACTGGTGCTTCGCTTCAACTTCATGCAGTGTTGTATGCACGGCCTTTTCTACATCGCCAGCTATCATCTGTCAATATCCATGAAAATGACTACCACTATTAGCATCCAGTAAAATCCATTAAATAAGCACATGCTCCCATTATTTTAATATGAAATAATGAAGCATACATGTCTTGAGTTTCTTTGTTTTATTTATTAGATCTTCTCATGGTTTGCTGGTAAACATATAATATAATAATATTACTTTGTACCCATCCAAGAAGGGCAAAGCAAAAACGTGAACACGTGCTTCCCCAAAGAGAAAAAAGTCTCTCTTCAAGTAAACCAGACATTAATGGATCAATACCGTATATGTATAGATATATGCATGAGTAATTACCTGAGTTTCAATGTTTATAACAGCAGATAATTGGTGAGGAGAGAAGTTTGCTTGGATGGTGGTAAGTTTTGAGTTCATATTGTTGAGGCATTTAAGGACTTGCAGCATTGAATCAACCCCAGACGTTGGATTTCCTACTTTTATTTTAATCTGGGTTTCCCCTGTGTTTTCCGTTTTATTTCCAACCACCAAATTTCCCTCAAACTCACTCTTTCGCTTCTTCAATTCTTCTCTGAAGCGCTGCAGCTCCAAAATACTCTTGGATGCTGTTTGAACTATGGAGTTCTTGTCATTCTGCATTAATCATGACTACCCATATTATATATGTTTTGAAGACGTATATATATATATTAACAAAAATTCATACCCAGATATAGACTACTTAAACACAAAAAAAAAAACAACCTACAAAAGATTATATACCCAGATATAGACCAACTCGATTCCGCAACTTCTTGTAAACAAAATAAGTACTAACCATTCATCCAAATAATGCTTATATATATATATATATATATATATGTATGATAGATATATGTATAAAAGGTGTCACCTTGGTGCCACGAGGCAAGAGAGCATGGAGGGCAAAGTAACTCTGCTTTTGTTTCTCTCTTCTGATTCTCTCATTCAACATGTGTCGATAACAGCGTTCCCGATCTGGGTTTTGAGTTTTGAGATTCATGTTGAGATGCCAATTGGACCTCAAGAAATCTATCATCTTCTTGTTCATGCTAGGGCAATGGACCAGAGAGGAGTAGGAAGAAGAAGAAATATTGGTGTAGGGAAGGAAGGCGGTGCGGTTCATGAAAGGGGAGTGGAAGGAGGTTTCTGCCTGTAACTTTAGCAGATCTTGAAGCAAGCCATCCATGTCTTTTTTTTTTTTTTTTAAGGCTCTCCAAAAAATTTCGAATTTCAGTTACAAAAACGGTTGCTTATAACGGTATCTGGTGTTGATGATAATACCGCACGTGGGCCGCGTGGTCAATTTCGTTCATTGCGGTCAACGTAAATTTCTCGGTCAACGGGAGCGGGCACGTTATGACTTTCGAAAACGGTGTTGGTTTAGTTGCTGACGACTGCTCCTTGAAAGCTGGGACCCACCTTCCTATTCCCCTAAAAATAAGCTACTCATTTTCTACAACATCCACCTACCGTCATTGTTATTTTTTAAACAATTTAATAAAAGCATATTAATCACGTTCTATATATATATATATATATATATAAAGTTTAATTCATAACCAATGGTGAAAATGAGCTCTGGTTTTCAGGAACCACATATCTAAATTCATTTGAGGCATTTCAATATTTTCTAGTATTACCTTACTTATAATATATTAAAATGATATACTATCCACCACCTAATAATATATTTATCATAATCAACATAAAATTTTGTGACAAGCCTAATGCTATAATTCATGCTCTATATTGAAACTATTTTTTTTTTTAAGTATGTCTATTTATTTTAGACAGTTTAAATTATAAGTTTGAAAATTTTTTAGTTATCAATTGACTAAAATTTTACTTAAATTTTAAATATTTCTATTATTGTCAGTAATTTATATGTCAGTATTTCTCAATAAATTCAAATTCAATATCATCATAATTTATTAAAATTTGATTATTATCATTAGTTACCTAAATTTCTTTTGAAATATTATGATTAATCATATCAATGAGTTTTTATTATTATTACAAAAATATATTAAAATATTTTTTTTTTTCTGTATAATTTTATGAATAATAATTTTTCTGTACAGTTTCAATTTATATCTCATATAAATATTACTAAGTGACTATAGAATCTTGCAATTCTAATTGAATCTAATCATAATAAGATTTTTTTTTAAAAAAAAATTATTAATTCCATGGTCATAATATTCTATCAAACTTTTAAAAGTTTAAGTGGATATTTTATGACAAGTATGCAATTTTTTTTAATCACTAGTGGAGATGATGATGAAAGAAAATCATTGTCTTGGCACAATTTTTTACTAATACTTCATTTTTCTCCTTTATTATATCTTCAATGCACATAGTTTTTTAATCAATTTCAAAATCAAATGTCTATGAAAAAATTTTACTTACAATTTTTTGAATCTCTATTTTATATTTTATAAAATTTGATATAATAATATTTGTTACAAATTATATCAAACATATTAACAAAAATGTATAAGAGAATAAGATAATTAAAATAAATATATAAACACAATTTGATTAAATATAACTTAAAAAATCCAATTTATGTAGAGATATAAGAAATAGTATAATAAAAATAATATGAAATTGAAATAGTATGACAAATTAACTGAGGAAAAATATATATCTGAATAGAAAAATTAAAATTATCTTGTATAAAAAAAAAAAAAAGTTAGAATAACATCATTATATACTGATAAAACATTATTATATGACAAAAATATAATAAAACAAAGAGAAATAAAATTAATACAAGAGAATAGATAAGCTGTTTTTCTTCAAATTCATTATTTTAAGTCAAAACTTCTTACGACTTTTATTTATGGAGTCATATAAGACCATGAATTAAGTATTAAAACAAATTATAAAAAAAATATATATATGGAATGGAAAGAGATATGGACATTGTTAATATATAGAATTCTAAAATTTCATAATACTGTTTATTTTCTTAAGACGGTAAAAAGTACAACTACAGTTAAATTGCCAAAAGTAAATTAGAAGATTGAACAGCTAATTCAAATTCAGTTTCACATCTTTTTAGGGGTGAATTCTATCCTGTGCTTTGAAAATTTTCACCATGAAAGAAGAAAAGATGTATCAAATAACATCAGACTCAAAATTTATATGGAACTTAAAGACTGAAAATTTTACCGGATGAATCAGAATTCTCGACTACTCGGCAAACTAACCCAGTTGCCCGTTCAATATTTCTTGTACAGTTACATATATAAATATACATTTCTAAAGGGGCAGTCTATCAATATATTGAAGGGAAAGGGTAATTGGAAGATAATATCATAATCCTTCACGTTTAACATGTCCAGAATGCCTGCCACTTACATTATACAGATTTAATGCTACAACCTTCTGCACTAGCTACCTGTTTTGGCTTTTCAACACCATGTTTAGCGTCTTTCTCAACCCATGATAAATATTATCTGGCATACATCTTGTGTTAAAGAAACTCAATAATTAAACTGGTGGGACACCAAAAGATAATTTGTCTATACATCAACCTACCCAAATAAACTGTACATACAGTCCAGGAAACTCTGTGATCTTTTTGCCTCAATCCCCTGCCAAATGCAGCAGCCAATCGCAATGATGTTGGCAACTGATGTTTTTCTGTCCAATGAGCTCATTGACAAATCTTTCTATACTTTGTCAGGTCTATATATTACGAATTTCATCCACTGATGCTTCTCAAAAATAATATGTTGTTTCTGATTACTGCTGCTGGAGATGATAAGGAAAGTTTGTTTCAGCATAGAGATGCTGTATTGAGCCCTCATCTTCATCTTTATCTTCAACTTCATCTTCATCTTCATCATTCTCACTGTTGTATGTCTCAAGGTATGCTTCGTCGGTTTCCTCCTAAATTTTATGAATAGCACAAGAATGTATTATAATGTTAGAATAATCATTGCTACAAAACCACAAATCTATAGTAAAAAAATAATTCACCTCCCTCTCTGTCTCCTCATTATCAGTTGGATAAGCAGCATCAAGTTTGTTATATAACTCCTCATCTCCTTGGTCTTTTACAAGATCCATTTGTTCCTATCAGCGTAAAACATGAGATAATAATGATATGTTTATTTACCACACTCAAAACAGCTAAGGTAGAAAGGCAAAAGCCAAATCAAATTAAGAAAGCATACGATTTCAGATCTTATTTTCTCCACTCTTTTCTGCAGAATCGCCTCGTGATTTATGAGAGCCTGTCAAACCAAAGAAACAGGAAAACAAATCCATGTGACAAATGTATGTAAATATTTCCAGGATCAAATGAAGACTGATTTTGTATAGAGGAGATATCATGTGTAAAAATGCATATACAAATAACCTGAGACCCTCAGTTTCAAAATAATGGGGAAAGGAAGGAGGAAAGAGAAGTCTTCCTCTAAATAAATGCATGCATACTTGCATAAATCTTGGTTGGCAGGCACACAAGTCACAAGGAAAAATTTGTCAAGTCTCTCACAAGAGCGAGGCAATCAAAAATTACAGAAAGAACCAGCAATTGACACCAAATTATCTAGCAAATCAGGCTGCCACCTTGAAGCATGTGATAAACTAGCAAGACGCATAGGGAAGATGGTATTTAGCTCAGTGTATTGGAAGCGAGATCTGCCAATTAATGATAAATAAACTTCAAAAAGATACCTCGCGCCTCTGAAGCTCAATTGAACGAGCCAAAGCCTTCCTCTTTGTCAAAAGATTCTTTGGCCTTAAAGTGGAGGGTCGCTTATAGTCGTTTCCTCGGTATACTATGATTGCATATCCTTTTGACACCTTGTCGACTGAAACCAAGATGCCCCCACTTTCTGCCTCAAGTGCTAAGGCAATTTTTTTCACCTGGTCAAAAGTTTTCGCCTTCATAATGATTTTCACCAATTCTCGATATTTCCAATGCAAGTGCATGTTTTCCACTGTACCATCAAAAACTCCACGCCTACCTGAGCCAGGTAATCCACATTCACATAAGCATATCATAATTAAAAATAAATAAATAAAGTAATGAAGTCCATGATAAGTTCATAGATAGAGAAAATAAGTAAAAAGTCCTTGCTAAGTTCGATAGATAGAAAGATTATTTTTTTGATACACAGAAAGATTAGTTTTACCAAGAAGTAAGAAAGCTTTCATTCTTAAGCCAATCTTCCGGAACATAAATCTCTCCTCATCAGTTATGCTTTCTGGATCTGCTTGACGTTCTGCTGGCTTTAAAAACTCCTCTACCTTTGACAAAGCTCTTTCAGCTTTCAATAACTTTCTTTCAGTCTGAAATGGAAAAAAAAAAACAATGAGAGAATATTCAACTGCAGGAAAATCATCAACCTTTGACAAACTCCTAGCTATTCAATCCTCAGACCTTTTTTTAGCATGAAAGATTATGATAGTATGTCTCGGGAAACAACATGCACAGGCAATGGTAAGGGTACTCTTAATAATAAGAGTGCCCAAGAACTAAGCACGGGATTCAAAGTTCCAAGAAACTCACGAAAGCAAGTTTTCTTTCCAGCTTCCTAACAAGGTTGGCATGCCTCATTATTTCAACTTCTCTCATTACTTTTTCCTTGTGATGATGATCCAGCCTCTTTCCCCACCTAGCATTTGCATCCAGAGTTTCACCAAGGGTACCTGCAGTACCAGAATCCTCACGACCTTCAACACTTGTCAAAACAAGAGGAGTTGATGCCTTTAACCGTGCCTGCTCTTCTTCATCTTGCAGGAACTTAGCTAATCTCTCTCTCTCAAGTAATTCTTTTGCCACCTCTGAGGACAAAAAGTTCTTTCCTCTGTAGAAGACCAAGAAATCTTTGTTCCTAGAAAGCAGCATTCCCCCTGTCAATTTCTGCCACAAATGACCATGATTATATTATGAACTTTTCAATATTGCACTTCCAAATAGCAAATAGCTTGGACTTAAAACAGAGAATGGCAGCAGAAGCTATCTACCACATGAAGTGATTTATGATTAATATTCCTTAAATAGGGAACAGAAACAACCTTGAACCTTAATCAAATCAAAAACTATTCTAAATATCAATCTGATTGGTTTTTTCCCATATGATATATCTTCTCCACAAGAGGCTATTCGTTCTCCAAAAGCCTTATTATTCGAAATAGATTTTTTCCATATTGTATCAATTGAGCAATTCCAGAAGCAAACCTGTGGAAGTAAACTTAGGATTGTTCATGTCTAGAACTGATTGAATGATTCCTCTCAATACCTACTAGAAAAAATTATTATGCTCCACACAAAAGTGATGCTCAAATAACTTTTCAAGGGCTCTGCACCCAAGAATTCACTGAAGGAAGCATATATATAATTGAGTGATTGATGTGCTCTACTGAGACAAGCATTTTATTTAATGACAGAACATTAAGTCTTTTTTCTTGCAGGAGACAGATGCTTTTCGGAAAAAGTTAGTGGTTTCTTTTATACAGTTACATTTGAGCAGCACCTATTTTTACAGGGGATATTCTTATAATTTTACTTTTTCTCCTTAATCCACTATATAAAGGTAAAATCCTAGCCGTAAACAGAGTTCTTGATTCTGATTAATTACAGATTACAGGGCGTTGATGTGGAAAAATTGCCGAACCACTAAATTTCAGTGTGTTCTGTCTCTCCATCTCTCTCTCTAATCTGTGGGTGTGCTGTGTTAGTTGTTTTTCTATAAGAGAAGGCCCGAAGACATTTTTATAAGAATTAAATTTTTTCAAAAAAAAAGAGCACCTTCTGACCAAAGGATTTACACAATTGGTGATGCACATAATATATGCGCACAGCAATTGCTAATGTAGAACAGGAGGAGGACCTCCACGAAGATAATAATGGACAAGTCATACCAAATCCAAATTCCAAGAGTTTTCACCCAGAAGATGATTTTCCTTCTTCCCTGGACCAATCTGAGAAAGCACACACCCTCAGATAAAAGCGCATATTATTTATATACATGCATGTATATATATATAGGAAGAGACAGAAACAGAGACAGAAAACATTACACTCATAAGCAACAACGGTTGGCATCCACATACAAAAATCAAAAGCATTCATTTCATCCATGTCACCATTGTGTCCAGAGGAAAAAAGGAGAAGGTCCATAAATTTATCCACTTAATAAGAAAATAAACCTGAGATAAGATTTACTCACTGAAGCATGTAAGAAAGAGTAATAGGCCAACACTAGGTGATAAAGAATATTGATAGTAACAATTACAGTATTTAAGATAATGGTTTTACTTTCCCTTATGTTAGTACTATTATAATTTTTTAAAAAAATTAATACCTTTAAGTTTGATATAAAAATTCCTTAATTATAATCAGATTAATATTTTATACTAAAGCACCATAACTCTTTTGTAATCTCAATTCTGAGATCAATCCAATTATTTAATGAAGTATTTTGAGAATTTTTCCAATACCTCTGGGTGTATAATGCAATCAAATCATGATTAAGAATTTTTACGTATGATAGGTATCCTTAAGAATGCTAATCAACTCTAATTTGCTTTACATCAATTAATATGAGTTGAAAGTTTCTACACCCAAAATCTCAAAATTCTTTATCTAACAGGTCTCACTCGACCAAAGAAGAGGAGAAAGAAAACAATTCCTAAACGCAGCCTACCTCCTATTAGCCACCAACCAGAATCACTAACTACCGTCGTGGTTGGCATAGCCACCACTAGCAACCTCCAAGTGAGTCGACCTGTCCATCCCTGGATCTCCAACCTCAAAAATCACTGGAACTGGTAACTTGCCGGGAAGAGCCCAAATATGTGCTGCCTCAACAAATCCCCATCTTTCCATCCGACGAGAAATGATAGAGAATGTTGGTAATAACAATTATAGCAGTATCGCGCGAATAGTTTGTCGTTTTTTTTTTATCATTTTACTACTATTAGGATTTTATTTACGTTTTTAAATATCTCTAAATTTTCCGTCAGGATTCCTTAATAAAATTAGATTAGGGTTTAAAAATTCAAACATGTATTTTGGAATCTCATTTTTGAAATTGGTCCAGTTATTTGATGAAGTATTTTGAGAACTTTCGCAATATTTTTGGTTTATGAGACAGACAAATCATTAGTGTGATGTTTAATAATTTTTAGGTGTAATATCTAAGAAATACTAGGTCTAATATTTAGGTTTATCCCAAATCCTAAGTAAACAAATTAACCTTAATTTGTCCTACATCGCTAGGTGAGGCTTGACAGGAAACTATGATTTGCTGATTCAGAAGGTTTTACCAGGTCAATCCCATTACCTTGACATCTTCCGCCATTCTCTCACTAGTTGTCAGCTGCACACCCCGTTTAAGGGCAATCTTTGCAATTGAACTTTTTTCCCATAACTTAATCATAGCCATAGCCAAACCTTGGAGTTGCCTGCTTCGACCTGTATGGAAAATTTGATGACCACTCCAAAACTATCTTTAGATTCATAACAAGCCATCTAAGAAATGTGGCATACCTAAGGCGAAGTGTGGGGGAAGAGCTCTGGCAATCCTTCGTAAAGCTGTTGCCTCTTTTTGTCCAAGAGTAGATCTGACTCCATATGGAAGTACTCTAAATGGAGGTTGGTAACCAGGAACAATTCCAGGAAGCATATCTGCATCTACAGGCAATGGATTGCATCCCTGCCAATCTGTGTACCTTGGTCCAAGACTGTCTAGCAACTTATCTACTTCATCTTCATACTTTACTTCAGGTAGTGTTTCCACATCTTTCTTCTCCTCAATAGTAGTTTCCATGTTTGCTTGAGGTGCATGCACATCTTTCTCAGAAGTTTGAGTTGTCATTGCTGGGATGAAATTAGTTGATAACTCATTTCTCTTGTATATCTGTTTGTTTAATTTCACTGAAGGAACCTCATAGCTAACACCTCTGTACAAAGAAATGGAAGTACCAGATCTCCAAATCACCAAACCACCAGTTTTTCGCTGGATACAATATGGAAAAAAGAAAAAAACATTACCCAAGTAAGAGAAAACAGCTATAAATTCAGATTTAATAACATACATCAGGTTGAGAATGTGTCACTGCAAACGCAAAAAAGCACAGAGTGATAATGCACAATTTTCCAGAAAAAAAAAAGCAAACAAAGATCAATACCAAAACAATTGCCATATGTTTAAGCACAGAAACACAAAAGCTCCCAATTCTCTAGGAGTAAATGAATATTAGGTAAACTCTGGTTCAAATTTCAGCTCTATGAAATGGTAACAGAAATATAATACAAATATATTAAAATTTTGAATAAAAATAGTATCCTAATTCCAAGTAAATTCCATGTCGAATTCAAATTAAGTGTCAATTACAGATCTTACACCCACACCAGTGCCTTGCTGTTTCTAACATGGATGCAGATGCCAAAATTGATGAGTCTGGACAACACCTAGTTGCGTGAAAAAAGACAAAATGATCATTTTGACTATTGACATGAGACAATCCTAACTCTTTCACTTGTCTTTGAAATTAATCCAATTGGATTGATCATAGGTAAGCAGGATAGGTCAACCTGACCCAAGTTGAAAGACAACTGTCTAAGCACTTGGGTCTCTTGAATTTGCCTGTAAAGGCAAATTTAAAAACGTCCCATATGTGTTTCATAATAACAAAATTAGAGAAAAAGAAAAAAATGTTGCTTCTCCTATACCAAACTCTATGTTAATATCTCAATTTAAAGAACACTTAGAATGTGATTCATGGTATGTTTCCATACGTGATTAATGCACAAGACCGGTAAACACCAATGGAAAGATCTCGAGGAATATCTTCATAACAATCTAATTTTGTGTTTTTGTTGAGTTAAATTCATTTGATTCCTCCAGTTTGGGAGGGAGTAAATGCGGGGGAGTGGAGCGAATATGACTTATTTTGTCTTCACAACATACACTAATTGAATAGAATGTATTGAACACAAGTAATGAATGAGGGGATAATATACTGTGAGGACCATATTACCCAGTTTCTCTCCCCTCTCCTTCCCTTCATGTTCCTCCTTGAAAGAGGCAAAACTAGTACCATGCCATTTTCATTGGTGTGCACTTAAATATGTTCATTTTCAGTATTCAAGATTTGCTCAAGTTAACCTAGATTATAGTTGCAAGGTATTCAACGATCTGCAAAAATAAAAATTAAAAAGAAACATATTCATAATATACAGCATCTATATTGGGGAAAAAACAATAATAATAATAATAATAGTACACTCTTGGTATCATATACAGGGGAAAGATTAAGATGTCATAATAAGTTAGTCCTGAAGAATTAAAAGTAACTAAAGCTAGCACTTCTGAGGAAGGATCAGTCCTGTTACAAAAAGGGCTTTCAGGTTTTTAGCTATGATGCTGAATCATTTAATTATTATAAGTACATAAAAGTAATAACAAGGCTTATAAGAAGCAAACCTCCAATATCTCATGCATTCTCTTCATGTTAAGTGCAGGTGCTCCCTCAATCTTCACTCTCACGATCTCTGAGTTTTTCCATTTCTCATGAATGGCATCCACCACAGCCTGAGTGACACCAGCACCTCCTATTCTGGTCTTGCTCTTTATCTGAAATGTCAAGTTCCTCAACCTCCTTAGTTCTGACTCTGGAAGAGTCAATTCCGCCAGAGAAAGCCTACTCTTACTCCTTGCCGTCCACGTTCCTTCCTCCTCCTCCTCCTTTGGCTTCTCCCATGGAAACCTCCCTTCCCCATTGCTTCCAAACACATTTTCCACCCCTAATGGAGATTCCTTTGAAAATCCACCTCGTTCATTTGGCAACAACCCTTCTTCCACATAGAATATGTCCTCCACAGAACCCTTTTCAATCACTCTCCCTCGCTCAGACCCCTTATGTTTCCTCTCATTGCCATCATCCATATACCCGAACTTCTTCAACTTCTCCACTATCTTCTCCATTGTACTACCTCCGCTTCCATCACTATTTTCACTGCTTGAATACCCCAAAGTAGATAAATCCTCATCTTTTTTATAATTCACCACCACCCGTGGCGGCTTCGAAATATTCTGTTTCTGGGGTTTATTCCAATTACTCAACCAACTACTACCACTACGACTACTACCACCACTGTTACTACTACAACTAACACAAGATAAATTTGTCAACTCGGGGTCATGTGAAGAAACATGATTCTTTCTTGCTTCACTAAAATTGACTTTCCTTGATGGATTTCGCTTAGTGGTTGCGCGAGAGGTGATAGTTTTGCGAGCTTTGAGAGAAATGGAGCAAGTGTACCTGAAAAAATGGAGAGGATTGGCGCCATGACATTTGGAAAAGGAGCTTTGAAATGAATTAAAAAATGAGGCCGTCGTCGTCGTCGTCGCCATTGTAGCCGTTGCCGGGCAAATCTGGCGACTGGGTAACAAAGCCATTGCTAGCTACACATTAGACGCTGGAATTGGTTTCTTAGAACCCGAAACTATAAGACCCGGTAAATAAGCGCTGAAGCGGCTATGGCTACGAATTGCAGAGTCTTCTTTCTCCCTCCATCTCCCCACCCGGATCCACGTGGATGTTATCCATGGCGAGGGTAATAATATCCTAACTTGTGTTTGGCTGCACGGACACCATTTATATATATTTTTTTATACAATACAGTAACCTTTCATTCTTCCTACACCGATGTAGAATTGTATTATATTTTATTTATTTTAGAAATTAAATATATTGTTTTTGTTAAAGAATTCTCTGTAAAATTCGATCTACTATACAGTTTAAATCTAATTATAAATTATTTGTGGCAATTTTAATTTATCATATTTTTCAAATGCAAAAAATATTAAGCTTGTATATTTTAATATAATTTTTAACCTTTTATTGTATTTATTGAAATATTAATTTTATTATCATAAAATATTGTGATGGTGTCTAATTTGGATATTTGTATTATCAAAATTCTAATACTCCCGTCCGGAAACAACACTAGTTTATATAGCATCCTCATTTTGATAACGAATGTATTCTTTTTTTTTTTTTTAAAAGTACAATATTAAAAATTAGTTTGATATTTTTCTAGTAAAACCATTTTTGGTATTAAGAATTTGAAGAATATCTTTAATATTAAAATTAAAAAGTAAAAAATATAATATTTTTTTACACAAAATTTTTTTTTAAATAAACGTGTATTTCACATAAAATCATTTTTTTTAAAAAAAGAAAAAACTTAAGAGAAAATTTTAGAAAGTGAGATATTCTAATATTAAGACAAGTATCAAATAGTATATGATATTAATATATCGTCATAATTAAGTTAATAAAGCAAACATTTATAAAATTGAAACTAACATAAACTTAACCACTCAAAAATAAGATATCTAAGCAAATATAAAATAAGTACGGAAGCATAATTAACTATCCAAAATAACTAGGTAGTATAATTTCAATGCTTAAGAAATATTACAAGATACGAGATAATGTAAATTACAGATACTTTAATAAAACTTAATAAAAGAAGAATTTTTCTCTATTTAATACCAGTGTACTTTTAGATAGTACAAACATTAAAATTATTGCAATCAAATACTAATGGTTAAATCAAATAAAAATAAGACAACTTAAAAAAAAGTAGAATATGAACCAATTATTACAAGGTCATACTTTAGTTTTAAGAATATTAAGGCCTAATATCAAATAATGGTAACTACCTTACTCCATGATACGAAGCACAAGTTAAGATATACGTTGATGATATAATGACGACTATCTTATTCCATGACTTTTGTTTAATTTGTTGTTTGTTTCTTGTTTTCTTGGAGTGTGCTAGTTCAAGATGCCAAACTCAAGCAGTACAAGCTTGATGCTCGTTGCGAGCAATGGTTTGCTCAAGGTATACTAGTGATCACATTTATTCTTTTGCATTTAACTCTAATTTAAATATCTTGGGACGTTTGTGTTGATTTGCAATTCTGAATTTTATTTTTAGACGCAGTAAAAAAAAAATAGATTAATGAAAAAATTAATGGTAATGGTAATCGGTAATGTTCGAAGGAAAAGTATAAGGAAAGTCACACTTCATTAATGAATCTAAAGATTAGCCGAGAAGGTGAGGGAAACGATGGATCAATTCATCATGAGAGGGACATAGAATCTCCATCCAATAGTCTCATCATTAGCTTCTTTGAAAGCATCGATTCGAGTATGAATTTTATAGGGAGTAGCAGTAATAGCACTAGCAGCAGTGACTATTGTTCTAATAGCATGATGCATAAGGAGGAAGGCGGGAATGACAATTGCTTGGATGATTAAAATTTAAAATTCACTTTGAAACAAACAAGAGTGCAGAAAAACAACCAATATGAATTGTTATGGTGTGTGACAATGGCCAATAACCTTTATCACAAAATCATCATACCGTGTCATATCATATATGATATATAATCACTATTAACTTATAGGGGACCCTCAATAAATAAATCTTTCAAAGCCCACAAAACTTAATCAAATCAAATACCTTATAGTGCTTGCAATATTTTAAATATTTAAAGTTAGATTTTCTACCTCAAAGTATTCAACTTGTAATATTCACTACAAATAAGAATTAAAATATGAAAATTGAAAATTACTTGAAACAATATACTTTAAATTTTAATAAACTATTATATCAATTTCCCTTGCAAGAATTTATAAGATATTCTATAAATGAAATTCATCTATTTATGGTATGGCATAAGTACTCAAATTCTTATTTTAAAAATTTAGGTATTTTGTTCATGTAATGATATTATTCAATATAGATAAATATTATGTATCATTAGACTTTGAGGACACTCAACCAGGCACATAATATAACTACCAAACATCCTACCTGATGCTACAACATACTAGGTAACATCTTATGCTTTAAAGATACTGAACACCGAGTTACCTACCTATCCGTGCACCATAGCAATTCAATTAGATGATTCATAATGGCATTATCTCAACAAAGTCTCTTGGCAAAAATGCCGCTCCGAGGTTGGAAAACTAAGTTGCTTTGACAAAGCAGGCAAACTCTGCGGGCGATAAGCATTATCAGCCCGCCGCGCCTTGCAGTTCTCCGGTACCCTCGGCACCATTCTTGGGCATTCAGGCTTCACATTCCAACACCCACGCCAGGCCCAATGATTGACTCCTGGTTAGGATCCAAATAGACAATAGGCTCCTTCTCAGGGGGCAATTTAGAACAAGGATTTTCATTCTCGTGTTTCTCATAAGCGGCTAAGGCATCAACAACTGCCTCCCAATCAACCAAGCACCCGTCATCCCCATCTTCCTCCTCATCCGCCATGCTACCAGAACAACAGTGACCGCTGCTACTCCCAGTGAAATTCGTACCCGAATCGGTGCTTTCCAAGAAGCAACTGGTGAGACTATTGGAAAGAGATTCCATGTCGCTCTCGTGAAGAATTGATCCATCGTTACCTCACCTTCTCAGCTAATCTATAGATTCGTTAACGAAGTGTGACTCTCCCTGTGCTTTTGCCTCAGACATCACCGATCGCCATTACCGTTAATTTCCTCCTTAAATCCCTTCTTTTTCACTGCGACTGACAGAAAAAAGAAAATCCAGGATTCCAAATCAACACAAGCGTCCCAAAATATTTAAATCTCAGTTAAATACAAAAGAACAAACGAGAAAGGAAAACAAGAAACAAACAAAGAATTAAACAAAAGAAAAACAGAAACAAGAGACAGATACACGCATAGACATCACACACGACGGAATAGGAGAAGCAAGAATTTTCAAATCTTACCCTCTTGTTCTTGCCGAAATCCCTGGAATTAGGAGCCGAAGGAGAGGAGGAAACGTTTGCGATCGAATCAGAAACCATGGCTTCCCAAATTTGAACAAAGGTAGAAGCACGGGGAGAGATTGACAAAAACCAGTACTTCATTTTCTTGAGAATATCTAGAGAGTTACTCTCTGTTTCCTAAAGAACAGAAAGATAATGGATAACGAAAACTCTTCTGCCCCTCTCGCCCTTTTCAGAGACTAGAAATATGAGACCCTGAATCGCAAGGTATTACATATATGTAGAGATAGATTAGGAAAGTGCCCCTGCTTTTAAGGCAATTTCCGAGGTTAGCCCGAATATATACGAAGAGCTTTGGTGACAATTTTAAGGTGGATTGTATTTACGTCAACCTCAAAATCTCAAGTGTGGAAGCTAGACGAAACGACGTCGGCCGACTTATTGTATTGGACAAGCCTATTTTATTACGATTGAATTTGGCCTAAATTTAATTATATATAATAAAATGGTAAGGTAACAAAAATAAATAAAAAATTATTTAAATGTTAAGATAATTTATTTTTAATTTAAATCAATAATTCTAAATTTTTATTTAATTAGAAAAATATAAAATTTGTCATTGTAAAATTAAAAATATAAATATAATTATGTTTATTATTTTGTAAATTTATAGTTATAATTAAATTCCACATGTATAATAATTAAAGCTTACAAATAAAAAGTATACACATAATAAATTTGAACTGAATAAAACTAAAACTTAATTATTAAAACAGCATTATTTTTCAAGAAAAGCATATTTCGATTTAAATCGAATTAATTTTTTAATTAATTATCAAAAGTTGTTTATCCCTCCTAATTGTAATTTTAATTTGATTTGATTTTTGATTTCGTTTTTGGAATCGAAAGAGACTGAAAGTAGAATTTTAAATTTTTAAAAATTTTAATTGTAAATATTTAATTCGAAAAAATCATAAATACTTAATTTCATTTAGTATATTTTTATTATATTAATACATACTCTATTTATTGTTTAATTAAATTGTTATATAGTATATTTAATTATATATAATACATATTAAAAATAATATATGCATTTAATATTTATCGATTTTATCAATCTTGACTTGTAATTCAATTTTTAGGTTCTCCAATTTAAAACCAAAAGTACTAAATGCACACCTCAACTATTTTCAATATTTTTTAATCTTGTTTTCTAGTTTTTACTTGAATTCTAGTGTGGTGTCTATTTAAATATTTTTAATTATTTTAAAAAATATAGTATATTTAATTTTTTAAAAAATAAAATGTATTATTTATTGTTATTATTATTATTATATAGATAGTTGTTTATAAGAATTTGATTCTGAAATATTAATTTTATAATAAAAATATTATGTCACGTGAACTAAATCAATTATTTTTAAATAAATAAAAAGTTAAAAAAGAACAATTTTTTTATTTTGTCAAAGCAACGTGTTTTCCAACCTTGGAGCAACATCTATGACAAACAGGTTTTATGCCTCTTTCGATTTTGTAGGTATGGGTTCATGGTACTCTCTGACTCCTTGAGATAGATTATTGTCATTAGTTTTAAAGTTGTTAAAGCAGTTGTTTTATTAAAATTAATATTATTTTAAGCTTCACGTTGTTAAAATTTTTTAAAGTAATCAAGTATATGTAACTTCTTGTTGCAAATTAAGAATTTTTTTTTTAATTTTTTGTAATAAAAGAAAACAAATGCCACTAAGATATTTCTTGTAGCTTGTGTATAATGAATATTGTTACTATGTCAATATCTTTTCACATACTATAGACATTTTGTAAGTATTCAGAACTAAAAAAGAAGTAAATTCATAAATTTAATGCGGAACCGATTAATAGAATTAGGTTTACATTCCTTACACAATAATTTAGAATGCCGAATATAATTATGAGAATGTTATTTCTAAAAGATAAACTGAAATTAAAGAAATGAAACGAAAAACGAATAACTAAATATCGTAGGACAATCTTCACTAGCACTTGCAGGGAGTCTGGATAGTGAAATACTCTCAAATCTCTTATTGATCAAGATCTGAATTTTAGTCATCTTGATCTAAAATAGTTAATGAAATAGTAAGATACACTAAACTAGTAAAAATATCATGCTAACTACATATATAAAAAACTAAAAAGTGGTAAAAATCATAAAATAATTAATAGAGCACTTAATTTGAGTAAATTCATTTAATATAAAAAAAATCGGTTATTCCGAACTTACCATAGCGAATTTTTTAAAACAATCTATGAAGACCTATATCCATATTACTCTTCACTTTCACACATAAGAGAACAAGAAACAACAATTTTTTTTCCTTACTTGCTTACTGATACTCTAGGGGGTCTATAAAGGTGTCTTCCCTACTTGTGAACCCAATAACTAATTTTAACAATTAACTTGTCGTCCTCATACCCTGTCCGGTAATAGGTGACAAATATTTCATCACATCGATACCCAGTCTGGTATGAGAGTGAATTATATCTTCTAAACCTTTCCGGTTAGGAATTTTCAGCCCTATTCGACTAAGATAACGTTCATGGTAGGATTTCCTATGTACCGGACCAGTCCGCCTTTTCCTTGGGTACCTAGTAAGTTTTTAACATATAAATTTTTATGAATAAACAACCAACAACGCATACTAATATCTCATATCGTATTCACATATCAATCGAACTACATTCATGCTGATAATATATAACCAAACTAACCAGATAAGTCAATAAAACCATTGAAACTATAAATTAAAAACATGTACTATACGAAAATTAAGCAAGTATGACAGTATAGAAAAATAAATAGGAAATCAAAACAATTATGAACTAACCGGTTTTGGCTCTATTAGTGATTTGTAATTATTTTTAGAATTTTTCAAATTTTCACAAAATATAAAATTATAAATCGTTAAACTTTAATTTACCGTAACAGAGAATGGGGTGAGGAATCTTTACCTAGATCGACGTTTCAATATGTCGAGCTGTCTATTACGCCTCCGGACAAGTATCAAACTTTTTTTTTCTATAAAATTCAAAACACTCGTCACACACTTAAAAATATCCAAAAGATTCAAAATCGGTGTCCAAAACTCATTCTGGTAAATTTTTGGGATTTCGGCATGGCGGTGCTGTTGTGCTCCGGCGCTGGCTCTACCGTCCATGGTGGCAGTTTGTCTTGGCTTAGCCAGTTTTTGGCCAGTTTTGGCAAATTTTGGTCGTATTCCTGCAAAAAAATACGTTAGGGCCTCGGTTGGCCGAAAAATCTTAAAAAAATTGAACTTACCAGCGCGGGGACCTTCGGGTGCAGCAGCTCCGCCGGTCCTCCTTCGCAGTTGAGGTTCTTGCTTTCAACACCTTGCACAGAAAATGACGGTGAGCACAATAATTGAAAAATCACATGAAACGAGAATTGTGAAGGGTCTCATCGGAGGGGTTTTGGAGTTTTAGCCACGGTGGCTCAACCGGGCTTTACCTGCAGTTTTTGACTCACCCGCCATTTCTTTTACTCCAATTTGGAAACAAGGGTAATCAGAATTGAATTCCGACCAGATAGGGAGAAATTTGACCTTTTTTTAGCAGTCAGTGGTGGTTCCGGCGCCGCGGTGGTCGTTTGTTGGTCTTCTTATTTGATGTCTGGTTCTTCTTCTCTATAAGGGGTTGGCGGCTAGGGTTTAGATTTCTGTGTGATGCAAAGTATTTATAACCATTTCGCGTTGATCTGGGCTGTCAATCGCGATTGATCGCGTTTAAAGAAAAAACGAATTTGAAATGTTCATCGCGATTAATCTCGACCATCTAATTGCACCTAAGGTGGAAACGGATCCAGGTCATCGACGTGCACGGAATCGATCCTGGAAAGTCTGACTGTGGGGCACGCAGATTGCCGGCGTGCCCTCCCGTGTGGCATCGACGTTAGAGCGCCTGGCCACGCAACGCGCTCTGGTACGTCGAGACTGCTGACTGGGTGGTCCTATGTACCGAACTTTTTCTATTTATACTTTAACTATTTGTTTTCAATTTTTCTTTCAAAAAAACTCCCAAACTCAAATTTTTACTCATTTTTCCTAAAATTATTTTCAATTTCATCTCTAATTCATTTTTTCTCAAAAATTCAATCAAATTAAACTAAAATAAATTTTTTTAATTATTTATATATATATTCTATAATCTGTAAAATTATCCTGGGCTAATTTTCAGCCTCAGATATTACAACACTCCTATCTTAAAAGAAATTTAGTTTCTCAAATTTGTTGGCTTTTATTTAGTTAAACAGTTAAGAATACTGGGCTTTAAAAATTGATTCTAGTTTCTAAATGGCTTCTTCCTACATATGGTTTTACCATATGACCGTGATGAATGAAATTTTTTGATTGCGGAGTACTCTAATCTTTCGCTCTACAATGTCTACGGTACCTCCTCATAAGATATATCATTCTAGAGTAAAAGAGGCTCGTGGGACAAGATGTGTGAGGATGTTGGGTTGTACTTGTGTAGTATAGATACGTGGAACACATTATGAACCCTAGATAGCTC